TATATATATATAACATATATTTTAATTTTACTTCTTTTTACATACATTTATACTATTTATACATGTAAAATTTGAATAATTTTTTAAATACATTGTGAAAATGTTGCAATATCTCTTTTATATTTTATGATAGAAATCGTTTCCTATTTTGAATTGTTGCCATAAAAATTTGTAGTATCTAGTTTTTTCTTCTCCCTTACATTGTGTTATAAAAGGTCTAGAATAGTTTCTTCCTTTTAAATAAGTGTTTAAAATGTTATATAAAAATGCTAATTGAAAGAAATACAATTATAAAAGAATATAATTTGAATTTCTTGTAAATTAAGAAAAAATGTATAACATCTCCATTATTACTTATAATGTCTGTTCATTATAAGTGTTTACCAAACCAACTGTAAACATTTGGTATTTATCACCCATAATGTACAACAGGTAACCATCAGGCTTCCACTACAGCATTTTTTAAATTACTCAAAATTGGATCAATTTTATTTTCTAAAGATAAAATGTGGCCTGTATTACAATTATGACTAGCAATGAAACTAATTACTAATGGTAATTTGTTCATTTGAACTACCTACAAAATAAATTATTTATTAAATATATGTTAATATTTAATTGTTGTTCTTATGTACTAAAATTTCATGGACAATAATAATATTATATCATAATAACATATACTTCTTTATTACCTGATAACTACTATACATGCATATAATTGTTTTATTTTTTCCTAGTCCTAATTTGCTTCCTTGATCCGTTGCCATGCCAAATGTTGATAAGAAACTTGCTCTCATAGCTAATTCTGGTACTGTTTCATCAGCTACAGACACAACAGGTACTCCATCCCTATCTGTTATCAGAATACTATGAAGTCCTTCCACACTACTTAGAAGGCCATAAAGAAACTTTCTTAATTCCTAAGGTAATAAAAATGGAGACATAAATAATAATAATTAATTGTACATTATTATATTATTATGTTACACTTTAAGTATTATAATTTCCAATATATATCTTTTTGCAAATACTCTATACTTAACTAATTTAGAGTATCTATAACCTCAAAACATAAACCATATAATGTTTTGCAAAATGGTGCAATATAATTGTAAGACTTACTGCTGCCATTTTCACTTATCACGTTGATAAATGTTGTTGTAACTTATGAATCTATTAAAGCCAAATAAATCTTAAATATTAACACTATCAAATGCTGCTTTTGACAGGTTGTCATATAATAAACGTGGCATGCGCGCGCAGTATATTTGAACTGCCACAGTAGAAAAAAATTCTTAAAATGCGATCTAAGTTGGTATCATACATATAATTGTTTTTACATACTTATTATTTAAATAATCTATGAATGCCAAAAATAGATTGACATTTAAGTTAATTATGGGTTATAATTAGCAATAATTTATTAAAACATAATATTTAATTTTTCAAATTTGAAGTTTATTTTAGCTTATACATTCCTCATCTATTTTCTTTAAAATGAATTCGGATTATTTTTTTTAGTGAAACTACAAAACACTCTAAATGCAGTATATAAATTAATGTACATGGCAATATAGTATCAATATAAATTGTAATAATGTTTATTAGAAAATTTTATTAACGGTAATAAAAGTTGATATTAAAAAAAAGACAATTATGACGTATAATTAATTGTACTAAATAAATTCATTAATGGTCTACATTACATTTCCTCACTATTGCTTAAAATTTCATAGATTTGAAACTATCATCATTGATATTACTTTTATAATTATAATTATAAAATACACAAAATTTAATATGTATTGGATATAATTAAATCTACTACATTGTTTATTATTAAAAGAGAATAAAGAAATGTTCACTTTTTTAATTATTTTTCACTAATTTTAACAGATGAATTTGTAATAAGCTCATTTGAGCAGCCTCCATACATAAACATTTTTGGTATATCTTGACCATAATATATTTTTGTATTCTGTGCTAATGCTTCATATTTTTTTAGTTCTAAATATTCTTTGGTTAAAAGAAGCTGATTTGCTGCAGCTTGCCTTTCCTTTTGATAATATTCAGCATCGGAATAACTTTTCTGTTTCGCTAAATGCATTTCATCTTCGATCGCGGATATTTGTTGCAGAGATTTTTTCTCCATAATTTTTTGATAATATCGTATTCTTGCTACTTGTACCTCCTTTTCTGCATCAATAACTGCTTTCTTTTTTTCAGTTTCTGCATCTTTCTCGACAACTTTTTGATGCTGTGTTGAAATTAAAAGTTTTGTTTTTTCTGCTTCCCTGTAATAATACAAATAAATATTTTTTGTATATATTGAAAATTGTTAAAGTTTTCCTAAATATTGTGTCAATATAAATCTGTACATACATTAGTTCATAATTTTTTCTGATAATTTCTGGAATTTTTGGTTTTGTAACTCTAACTGCATGGATACTTAAACCAGGTGCTAAATCATTTAAGTCCTTTTGTAAAGCAATTTTTAAATTTTCATCTATTTGATCAAACAAATCTATATACACCTCATGCAATGTGTGTACAGAGCAAAATTGATTTAATTCGTGGTGGATCTTATTAAATATTAATGTTTGATCATAATCTGCAGTAAAGTTCCTCACCATGTTGTAAACTATAATTGAAACAACTAGTTTAAAACATTATCTCAATTTAAAATTTATAATTTAATTTCATTAGTAAAATTATTACCGCTATTTGCATCTAATATATTTACAACTTCTATACGATCGAAATAGATCATTACGCCACCACTTGTTCCACATGGAACATTCTTTACTTCATCTGTTTGTAATGTAACTTGAACAGAACGATATGTTGTTAAAAAAGGTATTATCATATGAAATCCAGGATTACTGACTTGGGGCAACAATGCTCCACCCTATATCACAGAATAAAAAATTTATAATGTTATAGCTTATATCATTATGTATTTATAAATAATCACTTACTCTGAAATAAACACCAACATGACCTTCTTCTATACGATGTAAGGAAAAGTTGAAAACTATTGTGAAGCAGACACAAAAGCATATTCCAATGATGCTCTGGTCAAACATACTATTGATTTGCTGAAATATTAAAGTACATTACTTTAGATTACTGAAACGAATAATCTATTTTATATAATTACACATACATTAAAACAGATTATATTTTATTACTTTATTAATTTTATATTATACATATGAAATTTATCATAAAATGCATTTACTAAAATAATTATAGTTTGTTTTATTTATTTACATTTTTGTTATAGAGGTTATAGTACAAAATTTTGTAACCATTAAAATATTACCTGGGTTTACAACACAAATATATCGAAGAACAAATAAACTAATAAATTTAAATTTTCAGTTTACAAAATATTGATATTTTATGGTTTAACCAGTCGTAGTATTTTATTATAATTGACGTATCAGAAATTGACTATAAATTATATCGTTCACAAAACCCATGTTGTATACATACATACGTGTATTAAATAATTAAATTAACTTTTTAAATTTTATTAAATGTGATTTGCACATAAATATTACATATATATATTTACATTTTCATATTATTCAAAATAAGCAGAAATTTATAGACGTTACAATAGCACAATCTTAAAGGATAAAGAAAATTTCTTTCAAGCGAATAATGATTATTAGTCTCAAATTCTTCTCAGTATTTTAAAAACGAATTCAAAATATATTATTACAATTTTAAACGGAAATAATAGAATTATTGTGCAAAAATATTATAATAATACAGTAATAGTCTTGAACACTAGAGTGATGTACAATAATTCAAATAGTACAAAATGTTTGATATCTTTTTGTTTAAATTATTAATTTTTATTTCATGTTCACTTTTACAAGAAGAACAATAAAGGCTAATTTACATAAATGTTCGTTTATTTTCTTTTATTAGATTTATTTTTGCGTAACTTCTTTTTATCATAACTACGAATATTCTGGGTTACAGTAATAGTTTTAACATCGACTATGTTCTGAGTTAATACTTTTAATTCTTGTAAAGCACGTTTAGCTAATTTTCCTTCTGGTGTGTCTATTGGTTCCAGAAGAAGCATTTTTAAGGATTTTTTCAAGACACATTCGGCCTCTTCTAAACGTAAAACCAATTCGTTTGAAGAAATTTCTTCTGCAGAATATGCGCGTTTCGCTAACAACACTAATATTAAGTGCATTTCGTGTAACATTATTCCTAAAAATATTTTTATACTAATAGATTACATAATATTATTACTAAATTTGTATTTTAATATATGTTACTATTGTATTAAAGTTTAATTAATATCACTTTTTTACATATATTGTTACCATATAATTATAATTATATCTTATATTGCATGTAATTACGCGAATAAATACATTATTTCATTTGAAATACCTTTCAATCGAGATATTCCTGGTTCAACTATCTCTAACACATCATACATTTGTTTACATATATCCGACATTCTTTGTAAAATCTTTTCCTTTGGATTTGGTGTTGCCACTTCCTTTCTATATACAGCTAGTAATTTTTGCTTCAAAGATATCATCAAAAAATGATTTGGATGAAAAGATTTTAATAATTTCGTCATTAGAGTTTCCAGTCCCTTGAAGATGATTATTAAAGAGCAACAAATTAGAAGTAAATAAATTCTTGCTATACAACCATTAAATTTTTACAAAATACAAACTTCAATATCGTTATCATCCACATCGTCAATTAACGTCCTGCTTATATTTAAAGTAGCTCTTACAAGACGACCTCCTATGGAGGTTCTGCATTTGTCGCATTGCCACCTCGTTGGTTTGTCATATGGATACTTTGTCAAAGGGTTTTGCATTCCCATATATCCTTCTCTACATCGTGGGCACAAAATGCTACTCATATACGACCCCATTTCATAAGGATCACTGCATAACGAACACTCGCATTCAAAATATTTTCCAACCAGCAAATGTTCTCTTCTACCTATGGTTCCCTAATAATAAAACGCGTAAGTTACCAACCTACTTCCTAAGCAATCGATAAGCAACCAATAATTCACGTAGTATAGTAATTTTGAAATCAGCCAATAAACCAACCAAAAGTGATGAAGTGTAATTGAAAAAAATGACATCGCCTTCTTGAATCGGCAAACTAGCGTATACAGAAAGGTGAAAAGTGTCATCCACAGTTAGATGAGTGTTTCCCCTGCAGTCATGAGCCATCAGGGAGGCCTCCACATATAAACCTCGTAAAAGCAGACTATCTAGACCTCCTGGAGATCTAAGCTCGAAAGAATTTACATCTAAAATTCCACACAACTTTTGTAGAAGCTCAAAAATAGATGGATCATCAGAAATTAAATTAAGTGATTTCATCACCTACTTAGGACAAGAAAAATTATTTTCAGAAATTAATAAGTCGTTTGTGTTATGCTATTTATTTTCACTTACGTTTATAACACCTAATTCTCTCTCTTTCCAAACCGAGGTGTTTCTTCTCTTATCTATGTGAGTTTCCATAGATTCGACTCGTTTCCATGATTCTGGATCCCTTTGTTTTAAGAGCAATAATCTCAAAGGTAATAACACACCAGTGATATTCTCTATATTATTTATTAATAAATCTTTATTGCTTTTGAAAATATGACATTCATCCAGCGTATGATGCTTTGATTGTTTCTAAAAAGTATCGATTAATTATAACTGGTCGTTTTGTAAGGTAATCTATATTTAATATCCAAAATAATATGCATTTGTACTAAACAAGGAAAACAACTTTAATATAAATGATGATTTGCATTTCAAAGAATAAATTTGTATAAAATAGGCGATTTATTTTTGTATCTTTTTACCTCGCAGGCAGCATCGCATAAAGGTACAACATTGCATTTCGAACAAACGTATTGAACTTCTTTCTTGATTTTTGGCAGCAAACGCAAACACGCAAAACATACCGGATTATTGCTGGAAGTTAACAGTCCAACAGCAATCGGTGTTTCTCGAAATATTACCTCGCCTGCTCTTAAATCCTTCGCCGCTTGTAAATACCTTATAAAACAACATCATATAACATATTTTAAAACGCAAAAGACACATAACTCGGGATATAAAATTTCAACTCAGTGTGTAACTGAATCGAGTGTAAAACCTTGAAGAAATATAAAATAAAAATAACGCCAAAATCAATGATATGCATAATACTTATACCGTTAACCATATCTGCGTTTTGATTGAGATTAAAATAATTCAAGAATTTATTAACATGATATTGCCAATAGATGCTATTTCAATAACTTTATAGATACAGAACATAGTATAATTAAGTTAAATGCGACTTATATGTTTATACCTGCCGAATTTCTCTGAGTGAGCAATTTTGTACTTTAACGCAGTAACCGCTGTGCTTCTCGATTTTCCATCCATCATACGTCACTCTAGCTATTTTTGTCAATTTCTTAAATGAAATGTACTAATCTCACGCGAAACCAACGATACTTAGACTTGGGAGAGTCTGACGGTATCGTGCATTTTTAACGATTGGTAACCGACACCGAAATACAGGAAGTTGTAGCGGGTGCTGTTTCTCCTTGGTACTCTCAATACGCTATATTATTAGAAGTAGTAGTGTAGTGCGTGCTTGTCGAGTATTCGCGACAGAGCAATGCGTAGGTATTGCACTTAGAGATTGCGGCGCTGTAAAATTATTGTCACTTCTCTATAAATTTAGCTTTCTCGATATTGAACTTTTTGAGATTAAATCTTACTTTCTACGATTAAAAAAAAATATATATATTTGCAAGGGAGATTTAGAAAATTAGGAAAATGTTCTTTACTTGAATTTCTCTGTGTTATATTAAAATTAATGATAAATATTATTTTGATTTTGAATGTTTACATATAAATGATTTATGTTTGTAAAATTGATAATATGGTGATAATATGTTTCTGGTAAGACGTTGCTTGTTAGTACTGTGCATCCGTGAAAAGTTAAACAGCGGGACGGCACAAGGGACGGGGAAGTACCTCGCTTGCTCCACCTATCCCTACTTTTGAGGAACCCATTGTCGCACTTGCACGCACCAGCTAACACTATTAACATAAGAGTATGATTATCCTAATTATGAGGCATACATATTCTTCGTTAAATAGCGTGAAAATGTAAGATTGCGGATACAATACGTACAGACTTATATGTATTTATTAATATAGAAATACTTTCATACAATGTTTTATGTATGTACAATAAATATTTATAAATTGTTGATGGATTCCTCAAGTTGAGCCAAAGATTCTTTTGCGACGATACCTATTTGACCTTCCGGTGTATCTGGTGGTTCTAAACATAAAATTGTTACAGCTTCCTTCAAAATGTGGGAAGCCTCTATCATTTTCGATTTTAAGGCAGCTTCGTCAAGTACTCCGGCATTCCATTGCGTCTTTGCAATAAAAAGTAAAGGTGCATGGAGCTCGTACAGTGTCATTCCTTCATCAATAAAAGTAAGATATTGAATTATTTGTTAACAAAATATCATGAAGAAATAATTTGCATTACTGTTAAAGGCATAATAAAAATTCATAGATAATTATAAAGCTTTACCTCTTATACGAGAATAACCAGGTTCTATGACGTCCAATACTTGAAGCAATAACCTACACATATCGATTTTGTGTTCTAGCACGACGTCTGGCAAATCGTCTAGGAGGTATTCGTCTACACGACCGTACATTTGTGTCAACGAATGTCTGCAAAATTAACTTATTATTTTATCTTCGTTTCAAACATTTTAGCGCACATTTATTAAGATTAACAAAATCAAAAGATTAACTTATCAATGGACAGTTTTGTAGGTTTAAGAATTATATTTTCAGTATGATTAATTACTTTGATAAAATTAAATTCACCTCAACATTGTACGGAAAGCATGCCGTGGATGTAAAACTGAACGATACTTCTTCATTATTGTTTCTCTTTCTTGAATGGCATCGGCTCCATTAGCACCGCTGATGGCCTCCACTGCGTCTACATCTGCCTGCATAATTTGTAATGCTTTTCGAACTGCTTTTCCGGAAGTTGTAAATTCACAATGTGTGCATTTCCATGAACTATCTGGATCTGTAATGTAAATTTACAATAAATTCAATTACAATTGTAATTAATTATGTAAATCTAACAAAATTATTAATAGTTACTTACCCAGAGAATCTAAAGATAACACAATTCCATTATCACACTTGTTACATTTCAATGAAGACATATGTGTTCCAAGTTCAGTAGGGTCTGAACATCTTGGACAGGCACACGCGAAGTGTTTTCCTTCAAGAAGATGTTCTCTTCTCAACATAGTCGGAAGTAACGAGTGTGTGTAACTTCCATAAAGTTCACCATCTGGAGGAACTTCGATTGTAGTACGCAATCGTATTCTGCGAAGAAAATAAGAGTATTTTAGGTACTAAGTATTAGATAACTTGCGCGATTTTTTATTAAATTTAAATATCATCGTTTTACCTGTAATCGGTCGGCGAAATGCTATGACATGTATTAGAAACACATGAATGATTCATTAAAGCCACTGTTGGATAAAGTGCTCTCGCACTAAATCCTTTCGCTGTCCGAATTTCGAAAGTATTAATTTCTAAAATGCCACAAACTGTATGAATTTGTTCCTCTGAAAACCTACAATAAAAAAGATAAGATATATTAGTAAATATAATAGAAATCTGATTAATCATTTATGAGAAAGAACTAGCAAATGTTCACCTGTCTAATTTAAGTCGTTTCCTTATATATTCCACCACGTTAACATGGTTCAATTTCCACTGTTTCTTTTGGCTTCTTATTTTATTATGAGATTCCATATTCTTCACTTCATTGTTCCATCGTTCAGGATTTTTCTCTGATTCTAAAAGTAATCTCAACGGCGTTATACACTCTAATTGCGGTACTCCATGTTCGTTCGGTTCTTCTAAAGCAGCCTGTACGTTAAATTTCTCATTGGCTTGCGCAAATACCTACGAATGAAATATATAAATATTATAATTTATATATTTGATGCATAATACTTTCCCCATTTTAAATGAAGCAAAATGTGGAAAATGTTAATTTCTTTTTATCGCGTAATTTCTACCTGACATTCGTAATCTTTATGTTGTGGTTGATTTTCACATTCTATTGAACAAACAGGCCAAGCGCATTTTGAGCAAAGAGGTTTATTGTTTAATGTTGGAGGCCATGGTGTATAACAGGAAAGACATAAAGGATACGTGAATGCCTTTGGACCGACTACAAAAGGCATTTCTGTAATGACTTCTACGCCTGCTTTCAATTGCTCATTAGCTACCATATATCTGAAAAGAATGATTTAAAATATTTATAAAGTTATTTGTATTTAAATCGTAATATGATCAATTCAAATCTGTTTCACTATATTTAAAAAAATATTTTTTACTGTTAATAATGATTTAATTACAATTAATTTTAATTTCCTACCTTCCTACTTTTTCACTCTGAAGAATTTTGAATTTTGCCGAGCTTCCCGCGGACGTCGATGCTCCCTAATAAAAGAAAATTATTTTCAATAAAATTATTTTTACATTAACAAAAGATTAATTTGTAATTGATCATGTTGGATTGATATCTTCATTTTTGACATAAATATTCAATAAACTGTTTTTTGTGTAATAAGTTCGATGCGAAAAACAGTATCATGTATTTTATACTACACATAAATATACACACGAATCAATTTTGTACATCGATTTCGCAAGTTATTGCAATTTCGTCGTTAACGACGAATATATAATATAAAACTATGTTTAAACTGTGTTTATTTTTTAATGTAATAAACGATTTACTTTTTTATATCATTTTCAGTAATGTATAATTAGTAATTAGTGATTAGTAAAAACTTCGTCTATAGGAGAATGTGGTGAAGTTTGAATATGTTAAATGCAAAATTCAATATGTGTGGTTTCATTGATGATAAACCGATGAACAAATTGTATTATGTATGTTTACAAAAATGTTACGATTTTGCAAAAGAAGAGTAAAAAGGAAACAAAATTAATTTATTACAAAAATATAGTCTTCTAAATAAACATAATCGATTGTATTAATTAAATTTAACACATACCGAGTTTTTTTGAGACATGGTTGATTAACACTTGATCAATATTGACACCAAAATAAAATCCTTAAACTCGTATGTATTACACGCTTTTCCGCGTACAAATCAAATTGCACGATCAATGAAAACAGACGTATCAACACAGACTGAAAGTTAAATCTGTGCAAACGATTTTATATATAATCGACTTATTAAAAATATACTATCCGCGAAGTCTGCCAAAGGTATAATCTAGATCGTCCACCATCATCTTACAAGAAGAGTCTCAGTTTGCGTAGAAATTGTAGCTACACACTGCATCAGGCTTCCTAGTCTATTTTGAGATCTCAAAATATGCAGTTTTAACTACTTCGATAGTTCAGTGGGATGATCGAAAACTGTGACTACTCTTTATTTTTATGATTAATAGTATACACGAACACTAAGTATTTCAGTCGCCTTTTTACTATAATGTAGGTACCCTGTTTACGTGATAAAAGTCACAAATTAAAAATAGTGATTTTCAATGGAACTGGAAAAAATCGAAGATCAATGAAAACATAAAAAATTTAGTATAGTTGGAAAAACATTTTCCATCAACTATTTTTAGATGAAATTTCTTATATCCATTAAAGTTTGAAAATTTAGAAAAAAAAAAGAAAAAATAAAAAAGTTGCCTGAATTTGACTAAAACATTTAGTCAAAGACTTATGATTACAGTATAGAGTCAACAACTTCTAACGTAGAAGAAATGTTTTAAGTCAAACATTTTTCTCTAGCTCGGTACATTTATTCAAACTTTAACAATTTTTTAGTTTAAAATTCTATAATAAGAAAAATTTAATGCATTATTGCTTATTTAAATAATATATAAATAGTATGGATATGGTGTATGTAAAGCTAACATCTCAATTATAAATAGTTTCAAATACCAACTTGTTTATTAGATTGTACTTATAAGTGGAGAAACGTATAGGATGTTTAACAACGCTAAATAAAAAATTTAAATTATTGATTAGTAATCAGTGCTTAATAATCCCCTGTATTGAATATATTATTTCTTTATATCTTTTAAACCCATAAATACTTTTTTCTTTTTGGAATATCCTTATCGCCTACTCAACGTTCAATAAATAGATACCGGGTGATCAGGATATCTACAAAATCCACGCCTATAAGGGTGATGTTCAAGATTACGTAATATGAGGAGTAAATCAATACAAGAATCAAATAATAGAATATATTTTATTTAATAAAAACGGATATTCTCCAATTTGTATAAAGTAATTTTAATTTATATATTCTATTAACATTTTCACATAAAAATAGACTCCAGCTTGTTCACAACTTATTTTGCGCATGCGTGACCACAGTTAGGCGCAGGTTCCATTTTGCTCTCCCGGTTCGCATATCGTTTTACGTACTCAATTCTCAGACGAAGTCACGCAGTTTTCTGCACTTGTGTCTTATAACATAGAACATAAGTAAGTATCAATGAATTCTATCATTTATACATATTGGAATTAAGTTAGTTTCTTTTTCCATATATACAAAGCATGTAATTTGTAAAACAAAATTAAGTCTTTACAAAGCCGGCATGAGTTGCTGATAATGTCGGCTGTCGTTTGGAAGTATAATAAATGTTTCTAATAATTTTATAAATTTACGTGGACATAAATGTTTAATTTTACCTTTATCATTTAAACTATGATGTTTTTTAATTAAAGAAGAATAGTTTCGTATATAATAATGTAAAATTCGAGTCATTTATCAGACTTAGTAATCCATTGATTTACGCCTTATGTAATACTGAGGCAGGTCAATACCACTCCATTTTTTCTCTATATTATTGTTAAATTAATGATATAGTGTTGTTTGGTACATTTGTTGCATTTTTATTTCAATAATAAAAGTACCAATTTCGTAATTTATTATTTTAACACATATATTAAAAAATATGATTAAAATAATGCGATTTTCTGTTATATATATTAAATATTACGAAATATATTAAATAAGTTTTGAGAAAAACTTGACATATTTATGCAGTACATCGTTAATCATTTTTTGTTAATTGAATCTCACTTTTCATTCATTTTATAAATGAAAAATATACTAGTTCTTAATTAGTTATGACTGACATATATCTTTATTGATTTTAACATAGTAGTTTGAACTTTTTATATTAATTATTACATTTATTAAAGATTGTTGTTTTTTTTTGTTGTTGTTAGTTCTCTAATATTATGAACATCTAAATATACAATTTAAACAAATTAGATTACATTTTTAAAAATTTAGCATTTTTATTCAATTATTCATCAAAATATATTATATAATACAAATATACATTATTGTTATAAAATTAACAATTTCATATAATTATTTAATGTTTTAGCATAGATCATGGCTCCACCATCATATAATGATTTAGGCAAAAGTGCTCGTGACATATTTTCCAGTGGATATCATTTTGGCTTAATAAAACTAGATGTGAAAACTAAAACTAAGTCTGGTGTAGAATTCTCTAGTGGTGGAGTATCCAATCAAGATAGTGGAAAAGTATTTGGTACTTTAGAAACTAAATATAATATCGAAGATTATGGATTGAAATTTAGCGAGAAATGGAATACCGATAATACACTTGCTACTGATGTTACCTTTTCGGATAAATTGCTCAAAGGTCTTACTCTTGGTTACGGTTGTACTTTCTCACCTCAAACAGGGTAAAATATTATATCAATTGATCTTATCAGTATCATATAAATATTATTTAACAGTACTTTATATTTGATTAGTAAATAATCGTATCAATAAGTTATGAAAGAATATTTAACCTTATTATCATAGGACCAAGACTGGGAAATTAAAGACATCTTATAGCCATGATAATGTATCTGCTAATGCTGATTTTGATCTTAGTTTGTCTGGTGGTCCTTTAGTAAATGCATCAACTGTTGTAGGATATCAAGGTAAGATAAAGATGTGATATATCATTGATTTCTAGCATAAATTTTTATTATTCAATATATGTTTGTTACATATTGTAATTTTATTCTATAATACATAATCATTAATGACTTTGGTTATTTTTAGTACTGAAGTTGAAAAATCAAATATTGTTCAGATGTTTAGTATTTTTGGTATGATTACTCCTATGTGATTTCTTGTAATTCCATTTAAGTCTTTCCCTCTTTTATTCCCAGTACCCAGTTATTCCAGAAAAAGTGCTGTAAGATTATGATATAATAAAACAAAATAAATTAAAATTGTTGTGTTATAAAATTTTATGATTAAATTGTAGGTTGGTTGGCTGGTTATCAGGCCTGTTTTGATACACAAAGAAACAAGCTCACAAAGAACAATTTTGCTCTTGGATATACTGATTCTGACTTCAGTCTTCATGCAGCAGTGTATGTATAATCATTATAAATATTTTTAATAAAAAATAATTTATAATATTCTACTTGGATTTATTTAGGAATGATGGTTGTAACTTTAATGGTCTCATTTATCATAAAGTAAAACCAGAACTAGAAGGTGCAATTAATCTGCAATGGAATTCAAGTAACAATGTGACACAGTTTGGAATTGCTACAAAATATAATCTTGAGCACGATGCATCTATTAGAGCTAAGATTAATTCTAATCTCCAAATAGGTTTGGGATATCAACAAAAATTACGTGATGGTAAGTAATGTTTAATTTTATAAAATTAATAACAGATATATTATAATTTATACAAAAAATTACTCTAAGTAATTATTTTTAGTACAGTAACAATATTATATTTAATGGTACAATTTTTTAATTATTTATTACAATATATTCATTAAATTAAATTTCAGAAAATTGTGCTTATTTATTGATTATAATAATTATTTACTCTATACATTTTATTTATAAAAAAAATACTTAATATTTGATTTACATTTTCTTTTTCAAATATTTTTAGGTGTAACTTTGACACTTTCTACAAATATTGATGGAAAGAACTTTGGCTCTGGTGGACATAAGATTGGTCTTGCATTAGATCTTCAAGCTTAAGTATGAATGATTATAGACACAGAAAGACTTGACTCACATGAAAGATCATTTTATGACCTTTGTGTCATAATGACAGTATCACAGTACATGCTTCAAATAAAGTATTGCCTATAACATATAGATAGGTTTATCCCAAAATAGATGCCACAATTATATATAATATATATAAATATGGTATGGTAACAGCATCTTATGAACAATACAATTTACAAATTTTTAAATAAAATAGAAGTGTACTATTTTTTCTTCAATAATTCTCTTATATTTGATAATGGTGCAGCCTGTTACCAGTTCCTGTTGAACATGCAATCTAATAAAATCAAAGATTAATTACTCTAAACTTAATTATGGAAAATATAGATATGGAGTAATGTTCATTGCAAATATGAATGAAATTAAATTAAGAAAAAATATGTTTAAACTTATCTGAAAATATATTTTTCAACTCAGTAATAAATGTTACCAAGTTATGAAGTAATTATAAGCTCTGTGATTGATTTTGAATTAAGAATCCACAGTATGTTGCATATATGTTCTTGTAGCTACACAAATAATGTTAATGGTCGAATTTATTGTAAAAATATCTGCACTTAATATGATATTAATAAATAGCTACATACAGGGATTTGGAGTTAAATGATGTCAAATATTAAGTACAATTAATCTTCATTTATAAAATGAAACAACGTTCATTCCTGTCTGTATAAATAATATGAATCAATACTGCCACTGTGGCTATTTTAGGATTCAAACCTATTGTAAAATATATGTTCAGTTACAAAGATTCCAATAATTTAGTCAGGCGTCTTACATGAGGATTTCACATTTTAAAAATAATATATTATAATAAATACTTTTAGTTATAAATAATTCCACAGTCTTGTTTTATGTAGCAATCTTATAGGTAAGAGGTTTGTACTCATACAATTTTATTCTCCTATACATCAACAATTGTTGGATATACAGCAAAATCTGAATTAAGCTTTGATTAGTTTATAAAATAAACAACATTTTATTTTATGTGCAGTGTGAATGCTTTATTTACGTGAGATAATTACAATATTCCTTTAATTGGAATATGCTTTGCGTGAAGTTTATAACAATCATAGGTGAATGTTTGACAAATGATTTTTTTAAGTATTTCATCAATAAAAATTTGTTTATCACATTTTATATTTATTTTATTGTTGAATTTCCATAAATAATAAAGTAACTGTAACAACAAAATCTAAATCGTGAAGTACTTCATAAATTTTGATACTTTCAATAAAATTAGGAAAAATCAAAATTTATTTATTGATCATATAAAAATTAATTCTAGGCATATTAACATGAAAAATAACGAGCATGTTAATTTTACATTACTCATAATTAATAAGTAGTACTGTAGAATTCTAATAACAATCTTCATTATCTTCAAATTTTTAGTTGCATATGTATCAAATAATTACCTAATATTCTGTTCTGGTCTCTGTGTAAGTGTATGTGTTTATTTAATATTAAAAATATTTATATTAATGCACCATTTGATCTTCCATTGCTTTTGCTATCCATTCTGGTTCAGTTTGAGCAATTTTTTCTATTATTTGGTTTACTTGATAGCAAAGAGATTGTATTTGTTTATCCCATGTTGGTAAAGTTTCACGTGCTGTACAAAAAAGTATATGTAAAAAACGAAATGTAGTTCATTTATTGCTTTAAACTTACTTTCAAAATGTACAATAGAATCGATTTGATCGATATAACCATTCATTCGACCTTCTGTGATCATCTGGCTAGCAATTTTTTCTGCTTTTGTTGGTGGAATTTCCAATAAAGCACCCAATTCTTCAAAAGTTATATTATTGTACAATTTACTAGCAGATAATAAGTTATGTTCTATAACAGCACGATCGAGAATAGTTGAGCCCAATCCATCAATGGTACTTGCTTTTTGATGAGCTTGTAATAAAGCTTCAAATTCTTGTAATTCGGAGCGTCGGATAATACGATCCAAATACATTTTTTCAAGAATCGAGTAAGCAGGAAGTTGTTGACAACGTTCGTCTTTAAATAATGTCGCTAACATACGACTTCGTTGTTGGCCTAATAATAGATGGTTTATACATTATCCTTAGAGATATTAAGGATAGAGATTAAAAGAGATTAATAGAGATTAAAAAGATAAATACTTACCTGCAGAAGCTAGTACTGTACAAATTAATGCATTCCTAAGTGCAGTCATACGTTCATCTTCATGTATAATAGATCTGTATGATAATTCATTGTATCTTTGAGCTGCTTCTATAAATTTTCTTCTATAGTCTAATACTCTGGCATAACAAACTTTATAGTAAATTTGTAACTGTTCATTTTTTGATTCAGCCTAAAAAAGCACAAAATAAAAAATTTCAAAAATCTGGTATAACACATTGCATTTAAATTTAGAATTGACTTAAGTATATTTAAGAATTATATACCTGTAAAAGAGATGCCCTATTGATAAAAGCTTCAGCCTGTACAGGGTCATCATCTTCTAAATATAGTCGTGCAATTTTAAGATAAGTTTCAAGCTTGTAATCAACTGTATATTGCCTGTGAATTCATACAGTTAAAAATACCTATTAATTTAACATTGCATAATGGCAATTTTTATATTTACTTTTGTCCTGTTTCTAAAGGTATTCCAACTAGAACATTAGCTGCTTCTCTCCAATTTTGATTACGTTCATAAATTTTTGCTAAATGTTGTCTTATACTAGCAACTTGTTCTTCAAATGATATAACTCTTGGTTGTATCTAAAAGATTAACAAACAACAATATTATTATACAGTATCTAATCACATATAAATTGTAAATTAAATACATCTTTTATTAAGAATAAAATTTACCTTGTCTAATGTATAATGTGAAATAGCCATTGATACCTCATCAGGGAGAAGTAACAATCGATTACTAACATCTGTTAAAACTTGCCTTGAAATAACCAAACTTACATATTCATTCACAACTGTAAATTAAAAAGCATTCATTGTTGAAAAAAACTTAAAAAAAAAAAAAGTGTTAAAGTTTGGAATATGGATTAAAATCTCTTAAATATTACAAAAACAGAGTTATAAATACTTAATGAATTTTATACAAGAATGTAATTATACAAACAACTGAGAGAATACGATGTTTAATCTAATAAGTTATTATGTATACAATGGCAGCTATGTCACATGTACACATATTTTAATGTATATTATATGCTTATATGTAATTTCCTACTATCAAATAATTTACAAACATATGTATTTCTATATATTATAAAGAGAAACCTGATAGTACAAAAGTAACATACTTGCTTCAATGAATATCTTCAAAGCATCCATCGCCTCTTCGCTGGACGACAACAGTATTGAATCCAAAATCGCTCGATACCTGTAAGTATCACCATTTGTACGGAATATTTCAAAGATAAACTTTTGATCCAATTTTACAAGCTTACTTTTCCGCTTGATCTTTATGAGAGCCCGGAGAAAATGCTAAATTTGTGAGCTGTTGACGTACAGAAGCCGCGGTCACCACCATCTTTTCTACATAAATAACCAAAAATGACTTTTGCGCCTAATACGATCATGGACTATAGAAACTAATCACTAGGAAATATATTATACATAATAAAGCTATATTAACAACTAAATAAAAATTAATTTTACTGAATGTCATCATAAAAAAGAAGTAAATACTTCTAATAATAATTAACATTTTCTACTTATTTATTTATTAACAAAATATATGAATTTATACTTGTAAAAATAGATCATGTAATTATAGTATTTGCGTTATGCATTTTCCTATAATACATTATATATTGCATCTTATGTCATCGGCGCTTATTTCCCTAAAAACATATGTTATTAAATGATTATTAAAATTATATAATTACATAAAAATAAAATTTTAGAGGGCGCTTTGTAAATCATTATTGAGATTAGTTGTTAACATACTTTACATGAATAATTCATGACTAAATACAATATAATCAGTGTGGATTCGATTATAAATCTGGTTTATCAGTTTGTATTCTATAATTTGAAGAGTTGATGAAGTATTTAATTCTAATAAAATTAATATAATTCATGTAATTTTATACAGAATTGAAGTAGAAATAATCAATTTCACATTTAAACATAATAAACATATTTAAATTATATTTCAATTTCAAAATTTTATAATTTAAATATTCATATAGAAGTGGAAAGTAATACAGTGCAGCATTCAATAACTTTGAGAGTATTTATCGAATACTTTATTCTACTTTAACATAAATATAATTTATATTTTATTATTCCTTTAATTTTTATGAAATTTAATGTGTACAAATATGCTCGTGAATGTAGTTTCATTATTACAGTTTTAATATTTGATTATACTATATTGCTTTCTAATTTCACTGTAATTTAATCGCTAAAAATGATTACTAAAGAAGTAGATTATATTGCACTTGATTTTCAAATTTATGTATCGTTATAATTATAATTTTTATTTAAATAAAAATTGTGTAAATTTCAAAAATAAAGTTATACTTATATACTTACAAATATTAAAAAAAAATTATATTTATATAATTTAATAATTATTTTCAGATGTATCCTTCATTAATTATATAAAAATATGTTACGTAATTAATATTTAATAATAATATGTATTTCTATTATGAAAAACTACTTCTAGTAGCATTAATATTTATTATTAATATATTTTTACTGCAAAAAACTAGTTCCAGTATCATTTCTTAATTAAAAGTTGATTCATTATTAAATTACTATTGTATTTTCATATCGCGACATATGATTGTCTAATGTATTTTTTAAGTACAGAATTCACTTAATATTAATATTAAAAATTGCATTACTGTATAAGTAAAAAGTAAAATTTAATTTTTGTTACTTTTAAAATAAAATTAAAAAAATGTGCAGAGAAAGATATTATAGTTATAATAATGTATTACTTTTCATCAACTATTTGCATTTAAAATATTCAAGTTTTTGGAACACTTGGTTTTTTATTGGCCTAAGAGGGCGCTAAAGGGCTGACGTGTTTTTAGCCGCGGAAGGGTGAAAATGGCGAAATCGAAATTTGCAAAGTGCGCGAAAATATTGCTTGGTTTTGACCTGATATCTGACTGATAAAATAAAACATTTACTTTTGATGAATTATATATAAGAAAAATTGAACTTTATAGTAACAGTGAACTTGTCATTCTCATTTCACTTTGAAATTTTAATACTAAACGACCTTTGGGTCTGTTTGTACACAGCGGTGCGTAGTGCACTGTGGGACAGCAATGGTGGGCGCGTGATTTTGAACAAATTCGAGATATTGAAGGAACACCCAGGTATGTATTACAAAAAGGATTAATTTATTTTGAAAGTAGTTTAGATGAAAATTAAATACTTGAAAACCATGTAAGAAGCCCGTTTGAATAATTTGTTATAATTAAAATAAGCTTCGTGGCACGCCCCCACCCAACACTGTATGTACCTGATATGAACTGATAAGTTATAGGTTAAGTTAAATTTTATGCGATTATAAGATGAATATTTAAAAAAAGTTTATTTTTTATTATCATTTGGGATATTAAGTGTTTAGTTTTTCTTTGTGTATCAATGTCGATTTGCTGTAAAATTGTTAAGACCATTGAAATATATGCAGAAATTCAGTTTGCGGAAAATGGCGCGTTCAAGTAATAAATGGCGCTAATGTTCCTAAGTAGACTATCCTTCGAATTTTTCTTCATTATTCAAATTTTATTGTTCGAATTTTCGAAAATTCGAATTACATTCGGTCTTTATATTGTTGGATGTGCTTATAGATAATCCTGTTGTTTTTCGTATTTAGGAAAGGCACATCTACTTTCTAAAGATTTGAATTTTTGAATTTTTAAATTCTTGTATATTCGTTTCGTTTTTAAGTCATTTCATAAATCGTTTTATATTTTTCCGCTGATTTATGATATTTCTTCCTGTGTATAGCCTAACAACATTTGAAGCTTTATAACAAAAACGATTTACATTCTTTGAATTTCTAACCTGTATATGCGTGAAATACATGTTTATTATGGAAGATACAGACATCTGGAAAACTTCTTTAACATACATAAATCTATTTTAGATACAAATAAGTGTATATGATGACAAGATATTAAATATTGTTAAAACAATTGAAAATTTGGAATTTAATATTTTGTATTAGTATGTTGTTCTATGCTCATAAATTTTTGCATCGTATGTTTTGTTTTCGTACTTAGTTATGTAATTAATTTTTAGGTTTCATTTATATATTTGAGACCTTTATTATAATGATGATTTTGAAGATGCATTTCTTTCAAAAAAATATATATTGTATATGTAAATAGTTATGTTATATATAATTATTTCATGATGAAGGAAAGTTTACATAGAAAAAATATAATGGGATATCCATATAATGTGAACAGATATATTATATAGTTTGTTACAAATTTGTGCAATTTAATTTTATATACTGTATATACAAAGAAACCTATTTTGAAGAAATAATATTAACAAATATTATATCAACCATGTTATACGTGTACCTATCTAAATTTTAAATATGTATAAGTTTTTACAATAAGTCACATTTTGAATAGGGACGTAAACATGTCTGTAAATAAGGGGCAAAATGCTAGAGCATTGGTTGAACCGTTAGCTCTTGATTCACGTACACTTGGTGATGGAGACTTAAGTGCACTGAGTCTATCGCATAATAATGAACAATATTCATCCAATGACTTTGAAGCATTTGCAAATATTCAGGCTGAATTGGAATGTATGAATGCTGAAGAAGTTATGACAACAGATGAAGAACACATAATAATTGAACGTAACATCGAGACTGAAACGATTGTACCTGATGTGGAAATGACTGAAGTTTCTGAACAAGCTCAAGAGGAACATATTATCTATACAACAGCAAATCAAAATAATCAAAATATTATATTTCAAACAAAACCAACATTACAAAGGCTTCCTGCATCCACAGTACAGGTATATAATGTAATAATTTTATATCTTGACAATTATAATATTATTCTTTTATTTTTTAATAGGTAAAATCAAATGTTGGCCAAGTAACGCAAAGTCAGTCTATTATGATTGTGTCTCCTGCTGGTGGTCAAGGTACCAGCCAAATTTTAAAAATTTCACATCCATCAACAGCATCTGCTGGTCAGCTACAGTCATTAGCTCAGACTCTCATAACAGCAAAATCTGCTGATGGTAATATAGTTCAGTTAAGATCTGCACAACCTAATAAGCCTGTAATGGCAACCAGTCATTCAGGAAATATCACATTAGGAAATGTTCAGAATGCAAAAACAGTTCAGTCAGCTATAAAACGTACTGCACAGAATACGTCTCAAAATCGGAATGTAAGATTGTTAATGATATAACATTTTATTATTTTTAGTATATATAAAGTTTGAATCACATAATAAATTCTGTTTTCTTTTTTAACATTATTTCAGGTTTACACCAAAATGATATTAGCTGGAAATCAAGCACAGTCAGGACAACAAGTTCTTATAACTAGTTCTCAAAATGAAAATCAACAAACACAAGCAATAAAATTTTTAAATAATAGTGCTTCAAGTCAAGATGTTACAAGTCCAACAAAGACTATAACATTAGCACAAGCACAACAAATGGGATTACTTTCCACTAATAAAGTTCAACATATTTTGCCCACGTCACCACAGAAACAAGTGAGTATTAAAAAAAAAGTAAGTATTATTTTTTTAATTTTTATAGGAAAGAAGCAAAAAGCTTCTTCCCAATAATAATTGATTATTATATAATTATTTTCCAGAAGTAATTAATTCTTGTTTATTTTTATTCAAGGGAATAATTGTAAATAAATTAATGCAATCATCAAGTTCTCAATCCTCTAAAATGACTATAGTTCCAACTAATACAATCAAATCACCAACAAAGATATTACCAGCTCCTACGGTGAACACACAAGTTAAAACTTCAACAATTTCAAATCAGCAATCAACATTTTCCTCTTCTAATAAATCATCTGTTCAACAAAGTCCGCAAAAAGTGATTATACGACAGGTTGGTTGATTTACGTTTTTACAATTTATACTTTTCATAAAATAGGAATTTATATCATTAATAGTATATTAATAGCCTTTTACACTATTAATATAATATTTTTACAGAGTTCTTTGAAACCTGGAACTGTTCTTGGAAGTGGACAGGTTATTAGAATCCCAGCTAATCAAAACATTGTTACTGGATCTAATCAAGTACATCAAATACAAATGCCTGGAAGACAAGTAATACTTTCTTTATGAAACAAATATTGCCATAGTCTTTTTTTTATAGTACAAAATTTGAAGTTTAAATATTTTAATTATAAAATTTTTCTTAAGGTGCAATATGTGAGATTAGTTAGTACCCCTTCATCAGGTACTACAAATGTTGTTACTGTTGGTAAAACGAAATCACAAACAACTTTGCAAACTGTTGGTCAAAAAATTGGAGGTCAACAACAAATTGTTAAGGTTAGTAAAAGGGAATGTATAATTATTCAAAAACAATATTAAGTTTATCTGTATATGCAATATCTTTTTTCCAAACAAAATGCAGGTTGTTCCATTAAATACCAGTAATCAGACGTTAAGAACAGTTGCACCTAAGGCTACATTAACTGGTAGTGGTCAACGGCTATTAATTCCGGCGACTGCATCAGTAGGTAATCAATCAAAAAATGCAGTTGCTATTCCAGCATCTGCTTTAAGTCAATTAGCATCAGGACAGGCTGTACTTTCAACTAATTCAAATGTGGGAAACATTGTAGTCTTACCTGCTCAATATATTCAGCAACAGGTTTAGTACATTTCATATTTAATTAAAAAATCAAAATAAAATTAATAGATTAATTAATTATAATGGAAGATTGAGTTATGATATATAATATGCTTCAAGTAATATTATTTATATTTTATAGCCAACAGATGATGTGAAATTGAAATCTCAACAAGCAGCACCCAGTTTACTAGGTAATTCACAAAATTTACAGAGTTCAACAGGAACTTTGTCTGTGGGATCTGTTATAGAGAGTAAAAGTTCTCAAAGATCATATACCAGTGTTGAGCCAAATGGTATCAGGCCGAGAAAACCGTGTAATTGTACTAAATCGCAATGTCTTAAATTGTACGTATAACATTAAACCATAAACTCGCATTTTTAGAAATATATTATGATCTTCCTTTTAAAAATTGAATATCGAGTATTGCTCTTCATTTTTTTTTTTTTTTTATGTCCATTGTAAAATGACGGTTCATAATAGAAGTTACAAGTTATCTTTAATTAAGAGATTGTTTTATGATGTAAAAATTGATTGTCATATAAATAAATCATTACTTTAATTGAGTTCTTATAGATAAAAATAATGTATTGTAAATATATCTTTTTTACAGATATTGTGACTGTTTTGCGAATGGAGAATTTTGTCATATGTGTAATTGTAACAATTGTTCCAATAATCTTGGAAATGAAGAAGAAAGGCAACGTGCTATTAAGTCTTGCTTGGAGCGTAATCCAAATGCTTTTCGTCCAAAAATTGGTAAAGGTCGCGAAACTGGCGATGATATACGTAGACATAATAAAGGTTGCAATTGTAAACGAAGTGGATGTTTAAAGAATTATTGTGAATGTTACGAGGTATTATACATTACTTAATATACAAATATTTTTAAAGATAAAATAGTTCTATTGAAAAATATTTTTTTTACATGTTTAGGCTAAGATTCCTTGCTCTGCTAACTGTAAATGTATAGGATGTCGTAATGTAGAAGAACCGAATTTAGAGAAAAAATCTTTAAAAGACCTAGCTGAAGCAGCTGAAGTAAGAACTGCACAACTTACACTAAATAAGACAAAATTACAATTATCGGAAATGGCTTTTAGGCCTCCTGCAACGTCTAATACTGGTGCAAGGTTTGTTTAAAAGATACTAAAAGAAAAAAAATAATTGAGAATGTTATAAATTATGTACTTCTAATACATACTCTCACTTTTTACAGACAACCATTTAATTTTTTGACTGATAAAGTAGTAGAAATAACGTGTCAGTGCTTAATGGCACAAGCTGATGAAGCAGAACGTAATATGTTTGATAATGAAACATCACAAAGACTTATAATCGAGGAATTTGGTCGCTGTCTTAAGGAGATTATAGAATCAGCTCATAAAGCTGAAGCTACCTAGCAGGTACACCCTGAGAAAAGGTATCATGTTGAAAATTTTCAAATTTTGCGAACCTATTCTGAAGTTACGAAATTGACAATGTTAGTTATCAAGCCTTCTTAATTTAATAATTGGTCATAACAGCTACAAGTGTTACATACCAAAGATAATGGTAAAAAGTATTAAAATATAATACATTCAACTGGTTTTTTATTTTGTATTGTTACTAGATGGAAGGTTTCTTTTATAAGTTGCATATATGTATTTGAAACTGAATTATTTTTCTTTTTATTAGAATTTGGAAAAAATAATTTTAAATTAGTTATTTTATCATAGATTATACTAAAAACATAAAGACATGTTTAAAAATAACACAGTTGAATGAGATTTGACATTAAAATTTGTAACACAAATGTACAAGATATGAAAAAAAGTTGATATATTTGTCAATTACAGTTTAAAAGTTGATTTTATTGAAAATCAAGGTAAGAGGCTAAACTAGTAGAAAAGCAAATGGTATCTGTGTATTAGATATTCTATGTTTTGTATCTAAATTTGAATTTCTAATTACTTACTATTAACATGAATATTCAGATGCTTTTATTAAAAGAAATGCATGTTTCCATAAAATATCAGGTAATAGTGGAATTTTATGAAATATGGAAGATCCTTGATTTTTTTTATTGATAGGCAATATGAATGATGAGCTCAAAATTTAATATGTTTAATCTAATAAGCTTATGTTATTTAAGATTTTCATATTGCATGTTGATTTAATTAATATATTTATCTTAGATTGTAGAAATGTTTCCTTTCGATAAATTTCGAGATACTTCAGTGTGTATATTTTACATTAAAGGTTTGTAAAAAGAAACCCTAAATTTTTGAAGAAGATAAATTTATTTATCAAGGTTATTGTTATTAAAAATATTTGAGAAACTTATTTATGAGAAGAAGAGTTACTCAAGTTATTTCTGAATAATCTTGCATTTTTACGATTTTTTGTTTATCGATGTTTTGTTCTTCATCTGTAACTAATATTAATACATCTTTTAAAAGAAAGTTGGGAAATTTTTTCCATTGCGTTACTTTTGTATACCTTAACATGCTTAAAAAAAAACAAAAAAAAAAGAAAATAAAAATATTGAAAGTTTGAAATAAGAATATAAGGTTCTTCATATATTTTCAAATATTTTCTTACTGAGTTCATAACGATATGTAATATCGCATAACTTCTAACATCTTTGAAGTAGTTAAAGTTTTTCATTATACATGGCAATAAATTCATACTTTTAATTTAATTATTATTATGTATTTCGGATTTTCGGTATGAGGAATTACTTAAATAGTTAGTGATACAGCAAATGGCATTGCAGTGAATGAAGATATCAAGAATACAATTGTTTAATATATCAGTTAAAAACCTGATAGGTACAGATGAACGAATGCTTCTTATCTTGCATTGATTTAACCATCACTGCAGTTGTAATATTGTTTGTCTGCCATTAGGGGTGATAAAAGTATAACTTTTATGTAGCAAATTAATATAAAGTATAAAAGAGTTTATATATTATACATAGAGGAGTGTAAGAACAAATGTAATATAGATATAAATATAAATATATATTATATATTCATAAAATTCGTACTTCAAATGACAGTGTTTATTTTAAGTATGTAAATTGTACAGACTTATAATGTAATGAGGTAAAAATTGTGTGAATTGAACATGTAATTTTGAGGTACTACTTCAGATGCCTCAAAAATATTACCGATAGCGGAAAATTAATCGTACGTTTTTACTTGTTACATGTCATTTGTATAACAAGTCAAATATGAAAATATAAATTTTAAATTAATATTACAAATTTTGCAGATACTAATGTATATGTATAAGAAATTACTACTATGTACAGATAATATTCATATATCTAAATATATCTTTATAATTTGTCTTCTGTACATAGAGAGAAAAAATCTGATATCACACTGTTTAATAAATAATTTATTCCTTTAACTTAGGAAAATTTATTTAAATGAATCATAATTGCACTATTACATCGTACAATTAATATGTAAAAAGTTTCAACTGATTTATAAATTCAAATATAATGTAAATAGGCAATATTTAAATTATAATAATATTACATCTTGTTTGATATCAGATTTTTCATGCTGGTGGTTTAAATAATATTAAAAGATATGTATGAAGCAAATGTATGTACATACATTTGTCAAATACATGTATGTACCTTTCAATAAATCTTATGTTTACATTTTAAGCTGTTCATTAATTGAGCTATATAGAGGATTTCTATACAGAAAAAAATCATGTATTATATAAAAGAAATGTGTTTTCAATTAGATTATAAATGTAAAACTTATTAAAATTTGACTATGTTTTTAGTTTTTTTATTATCTTTTATATTTCTTCTATTTGTGTCTTCTTCTAAGGATTCTAAATTATCATTTGCAATTGTATTTACTGTAATAGTATTTTCTTCTTTTTCTTTAATCAAATCTGGACAATCTTTTTTTAAATGTGTAACATCTCCACAAATTTTACAGGCACCTCCTTGAGGATAAACTCCTTTGGGATTATCAGGGCATTGTTTAGCTATGTGTCCTTGTTCACGGCAAATGAAGCAAGTTGCATATCTAAATTCTGTTGGCTTAGCTACTTTACACTCAAAATGCGTGTGTTCTGTTGATCCACATTTAAAACAGATTCCAGTTCCTGCTTGTTCTGATCCAAGCTCAGGGCAATCAGATAAATTGTGTCCAGCTTTACGACAATGGAAACAAACACATTTCCTTATTCTAGCTAATGCTTTCTCAGCTTTCCTTCTCTCTAGTTTCATTGCTGCATTTATTTCTGTCTGTGGAATGCCTAAAAGAATATATAAAATACAAAGTAACAAAAATAATTAGGAAATATTAAAATCATTCTAAAAAGTATAACCATAGTAATTTACCTTTCATAATCATTTTCTGTTTTAAATCAGTCAGCCTATCTGCATCTTCCTTTTTTATTGGAAATCCATCAAATTTTACAATTTCTACCTCTATACCATTGATCATTATTTTTGAAGAACCTAAATCAGGTTTCCTTCTTTTGTGTTCTTTATCATCTCGAATTTTAGGTGGTTTTCTTTTTGTTTTTTGATTATTAAATTTTCTCATATTAAATTTATTTGGAATATTCCCAAAATTCTGTGATTTAGTCACAAAGTTTTCATCAAACCTTGTTGTTTGATTAGTTCCATCACTTTTACTTTTACTGTCATTTATGTCTTGTAACATAATATCATTATTAATATTATTTTCTGTACTATCAGATGTGCTTTTATTTAAACTTTTCTTCCTCTTCATATTACGTTTCTGACGTTTAGAAAATGTATCTTTTTCATTTTGTAATCCATCCATTTCAATTACTGTATCATTTTTATTTTTATTTATTTCTGGAGTATTATGTTTATCTTTCTTTCTTTTTACATTTAATTTGTCAATTAATTTGTTTGATTCATTTAGTTCGGAATTAATTTGAATTTTTGTATTAGAGTTAATGTTATCAGATTGATAGTGACTTTCTTTATATTTTTTATTTTTTATCTGCATTACAGAACTATCAATTTCATTAATATCTCGTTTTAAAGATAATTTCATATTAATATCAGTATTATTTTCATGATTATCAAATAATATATTTGGATTTGTTTTTATTTTGTTCAATTCTGTCTTTTGTATTTTCTTGGCTTTATTTGTTATTAAATTATTTCTCTGTTTAGTATTATTAGTATTATTTGGAAATTCTGCCCATGAACTATGGGCATGTTCAATATTATTATTAGTAACTGTATTTTGCTTTTCTTCTAATAATTCTTCAACTGATTTAGTTTTTTCCGAGGGTTCTTGCTTTTTACATAAATTTTCAACTAATTGTTCTTTCATTACATGCCATGGTGTAGCGTCATTGGGTATTTTTTCATTAGAAGCTTTAGAACCTTTTGCTCTTGTATATCGAGTCATATTTTAAAAATACCAAAATTGCCTATGATTTAAAAAATTGAAGATTCTTATTTTATCATTATTTACATAACTTTTTAATACTAAATAATAATTTATTCTAGATGTGTAATGTTATTATTATGTATTTTAAAAAAATAATTAAAATTTATTATAAAATTTATTTGTTAAACATGTATATATTTTATTAATCTATATTTAACTGGACAATACTGAATGTAATATATTCTCAATTTAAATTTTGAAGGCGTTATAATATAAAAATAATTATAATTTTTTAGTACCAAGTACAGTTGCAAAAAATAATTATAGAGCAAATATAAATATTTAACGATTCAAATTTACTGCAATAACATTCAAGACAATAATTGTAAATATTCGTAAATTAATGGGAAATAACCTCACTACACTACACGTGAACTAGCTGAATGATACTGATTTGTTATTGGTTGAATAATACTGCCAAATTTTAACTTTTTCTCTAATCTATAATATCCACTAGATGATTTTTGTAAAAGTTACTTTTCTAAAAACGAATCCGTAACAGAAATTGCTCTATCACCTTCAGTTTCCGAAAAATGTGAATTTTTCTAAAGGCACATTATTTTTGGCTAAAATGAATTATTATATAAAAGGTAAGACCGTTAGGAGGTTTAGTATTGTCTTACAAACTAGATGAGAGAATCCTGAGTTTATCAATCTCCATAATTATGATTATTTGCACTTCTGAATAACTATAATTGGTCATCAAAGTTTAAGAATAAGCTGCCGAGCATACTTTCTAGGCACTATTCTTGCACTTCTACAAAAAGTTCTTTACCTGTCACAAATTTGCTACGCAGATCGTATTGTATAGATTTTTGTGAAAAAGAAATCATGGAACACAATTGCTGAAACAGTTTTCAATTCGATTAGGTAACAAAAATATTCGTTGCTAAGGTTTATATGAGGTTTTACTACTATGCGGCCATTGCTTTGTCCACGACAGTGCCGTAGTTACGAGTGAAATACGAAGAGAAATGAAGTTGACATATCTCCAAACAAAAAGAAAGACAATTCATTGTGACTTTACACACAACGGAGATGAAAACAATGAATACATAACATTATTGTAAACACAAAGAAGGGACACATACATGTGTATATATATAACACATATGTCGTTTGTATTACGTCATTTGTTTTACCGTCAAAATTCTAAATAATCGATAATATATTAATTAATAATAAAGGTATTATTAGTAATGTTAAAGTGTCAAAATTAATAATAAATATTGTTTATGCGTAATTACTGTATGTTTTTTATGTTATTGTAAAGATAGAAAAAGAATAAAAAAAGAATATTAACTAAAATGTGGAGTAAAATATGATACATAATACGAACCTGTCAATATATACACTCAATATACCTTTAATACAATCCGTTGATACGGCACTGATTCCTGCATAAGTTACACCAGGATAAAAACTCGAACGACTTTCGATCAGCGCCATCTATGATTTGGGCTCAAAAAGCAAGAAAGTGATAGGAACATAGAATGTGCGAGGAGGTCGATTAACAGCAGGTCACGTGATAGACAAGGACAGCAAGCGGTTAGAAAAGGATAGAAACGACGCGGCAGTGAAAAATCACTAATTACTCGATTTCTGTAATTAATTCGTGAACTTTTATAACTGCATCGCAAAGTTGGAACTTTGAGCAACATTCTTATGTAACTTTCGTGCACAATTTGACGCTAATTAGTTTGTTAAAATTAATGACTTGACGGCGTCCGGGATTTGACAACAATGGTCGGCTCGATTGTCTGTGAGAATAATTAATTCTGAACAAAACTAGAAGTAAAATATGAACAAAACTCATATAAGAATATTCCCACGGATATTGTTTTTTTAATGAGTGCATAAAGTTTCATAAATTAATTGCGTAAAGAATAGTAATTAACGAAAAATCAATGGCGTCTTCGACAATAATTCAAACACTCCGTAGAATAATAATTAATAATTAATTAATTAGGGATAAATTAATATCGAAAATTATATTAGAAAGCTCGCAAAGGACGCGCCGTTACGATGCAATTATAAAAATCCATAAATTAATCGCAGGAAATGAGTAATTAATTAATTTTCTAATAAAAATTCAAAAAGGAACAGTCAACGCCACCTATAATTTTTATCCGGAAGCTTGTGCTCCGTTAGTTCCAGTACAGAATCATAGGTGGCGCTGACTGTTCCTTTTTAATTTTTATTACAATATTAATTAATTACTCAATTCCTGCGATTAATTTATGAATTTTTATAATTTCATAGTAAAGGCGCATCCTTTACGAACTTTCCAATATATTTTTCGATATAAATTTATCCCTAATTAATTAATGATTAATTATTATTCTACGGAGTGTTTGAATTGTTGTCGAAGACGCCATTGGTTTTTCGTTAATTACTATCCTCTACGCAATTAATTTATGAAACTTTATGTACTCATTATAAAAACAATGCTCTTGCGAATCTTCTCATGAAACTTTTGATCACATTTTGATTCTAGTTTTGTTTAGTATTAAATATGTTCACGGAAAGTCGCGATGGTCGTCGTTACGAAATCATAAACGCCATCAAACAAAAATTAATAACTATAGGCGCTTAAATTTGAATCGGTTATTACCTTAATAAATAAATTCGACAGTAGAAAATTAACGAATCCTGAGTTTGAGTAATTAATTCATGAATTTCTATAGTTGCATCGCAAAGTTGAAACTATAGGCAACATTCTTTTGCCATTTCCGAGAATAATTTGATGCTAATTAATTTGTTATTCATAATTAATTAAAGGCGTACGTGATTTCGTACCAACAACCATGATCTTTTGAGAAAATATTAAATAATGGACAAAACTAGAAGTACAATGTGAACGAAAATGTATGAGAAGATGCCCAAGGATATTCTTTTTATAATGTGTGCATGGAATTTATGAATTGATTGTATAAAGGATAATAATTATTGTCAAACGATCAATGCCTTCGGTATCAGTGCAATAATTATTACAAAATAATTAATTAAAAAAGGAATTAATTTATCTAGAATTACCAAAGGGATCAAATGCATAAAATAAATAAATATATATAATTACCTTCCTATCTGAATGAAATCATAGCAATTTTTGATAGAACAACTATAAATTTGCAATATTTTATGCATGAGACCACTTTAGTAATTCTAATATTGAAATGAACAAAGCTCTTAGTACAAAGATTATGCTATATCATTTATTCAATTATATTGTCAATACAAATCTTAATCTGTAATATTCATTGCATAATTCTTGCGGAGTTTACTTTCCTTGAAACGAATCTGCAAACAAAATTGCTCTATTACTCTTAGATGTCGAAGAACATTAGTTACTCAAAAAACGTGTAACTCATGTGTGAGATCTTTCTCCTACTCACTTGCCATATGTTATTGTATTCATTGCTGTTACAGAACTTTTATTCTATAGATAAGTTGCAAAATACATAGCCTACATCCAAAATTTCTTTTCCATTTCAGTTGTACAAGAATGCTCGTGTTTTATTCAGTAATGTTCGATTAAGCCCTTCCATTCAGTTAAGGAGTATACAGTGTCGTATAATCTAGTATAATTACTTTCTGTCTTCACCAATTCTTGAATTTTCGACTGGTAACCCCTCCTACTTCCATTATCGCATCTAAATCTGTATGTTATTCCACTTTGCTCCTGCTGCTGTAACATACTTATACAATTTTCGTCATGCATCAGTATTTGATTCCATAAGATAAATCCTCACAAAATTAGTAAAATCTAAGACTGTCACCACATACCTGTTTCTGCTCCATGTCTCTTGTTCTATAGGCCCACACATATATTACAATGTATAATTTCTAGCTGTCCTTTTACCCTTGTTCTTAGCTCTGCTAATGGTGTCTTCAATTGCTTTGCATAAAAAAAATATCCTGCATTCTCCAATTCGTGCGTTTCGTATTCTTTTTGTTATTTTCGTTCCCAATGCTTTCTTGGATAACTCTTTCATGTTCTCCATACATAGATGGTCCAATTTTCTGTATCATTACCAGCTTCGTGTTCCTCCTTACTAGTAATGTTTTAGTCTGTATTTTTCCTTTTGATTCATCCATGCCATAAAGTCCATTACTACTTACCTTGCCTACTAATATCTTTTTCCTTCTTATAAACTATTACATTGTGTTTCTAAAACATTATTTTACCACCCTTAAAATTATTTTACCACATTTTGAGTTATCAGATGTATTGACATTAAATTCTGTCTTTAGTCTGAAACATACAGAACATTTTCAAATATACAGCTATCTAATTCAATTCTATCTTTTACTATAGTTTCCTTGAAGATGTTTCTCTTTGCTGATTCAATTTCTGTTCCTATTGCTTCTTATTCCTCAAAAATATTCTGGCATGTTCACCAAATGGCTGGTTGCTCTCAAGTCCAAAATCCATTGTTTTGTCCCATCGCTCCCTGTCAGGAAGCACACTTTCTTTCTTTCTTCTTGATTTCCTTTGCTTTCCTTCATTATTTAAAATAACAGTCTCTTTCCAAATGATTAGGTTTCTTACATGTCCTACATGGAGAGCACACTTCTTAAGTCTTGTCTTTTCTTCCTAATCATAGAAATTTTTCTGATTTTTATCCTAATTCTAATCAGAACTAAAATATTTAATTTCTTTGGTACCTTTTCGGTTTTTCCAACATGCACTTGCAATATGTATGCTGTAGTTACGTTTGAAATAACTCTTCCCTTGAGCTTTACAGGCTATAGATCATTTTGATGATCTTGCTTTCTTGACAATCACCTCAGTTGTGAGATTATCCATTTTCCTTTCTTCTTTCTGCATTAATCCCACACAGTTGCAAGTACACGATCTGACAATATACATAAAATTTTAGTTATAAACATTGTTTATTCTATTTTATGTCCTAATGAATGTAATTTGAAAACTTACCTGTCAACCACGCAGTGTGGGTTATTATATCATGTTTTGCTGTTTTGTATTCTTCTCATTGATATTGCTCAATTTTATCCATATCTCATGACTTGACATACTGGTTTTTTACATCAATTAATAATACGTCCCCTATGGTTGAAATTATCAGATTTTGTACTTACACATTGTTTGTTAACTAATCCTGTTTACACATTTCTACACTTCTAGGTTCTTTCATTATATGTCCATACAAACCTTGACACCACAGCATGAAGACCACTCTAAATTTTTAAATATGATATATCCATCTTGATCCTTTCACCTATTGATATTTCGAATTTTATTTTCCGCACTCAAACACGTGGCCTACATTCTGTTAGCAGTCCATAACCTGTTGATTTATTCTTTTGCTCTGACATGCACATCCCACACACATTCCTTTTTACATTACTCACCCTAGTTATCCTTTGTTTCCATTATTCCCTCAATATTTCGTAATTTTCTCCAGGTACAGATTCATTCGCCGTTTACAGTCGAAAATATCCATTATACAATTACCGTCCAATAATAGGACGTGTCAAAAGCATATAACGAAAGTTGGTAACCTATTCAAATTGAAGCGCCTTTGTTCAGCGCCATCTATGAGGTTTGACTGGAATCTTGAACTGTTGATGTCGTTTGAATATTCATTCGGTATTAGAAAATTAACAAGTTATTCAATTTCTGCAATTAATTTATGAACTTTTATAATTTCATCGTAAAGGCGCAGCCTTGGCGAACTTTCTAATACAACATTTGATATAAATTTGTCCCTAATTAATTAATTATTAATTATTATTCTACGGAGTGTTTGAATTGTTGTCGAAGACGCCATTGATTTTTCGTTAATTACTATTCTTTACGCAATTAATTTATGAAACTTTATGTACTCATTAAAAAAATAATATCCTTGGGAATATTCTTATATGAGTTTTGTTCATATTTTACTTCTAGTTTTGTTCATAATTAATTATTCTCACGGATAATCGAGCCGACCATTGTTGTCAAATCCCGGACGCCGTCAAGTCATTAATTTTAACAATCTAATTAGCATCAAATTGTGCACGAAAGTTACATAAGAATGTTGCTCAAAGTTCCAGCTCTGCGATGCAGTTATAAAAGTTCACGAATTAACTACAAAAATCGAGTAATTAGTGATTTTTCACTGCCGCGTCATTTCTATCCTTTTCTAACCGCCTGCTGTCCTTGTCTGTCACGTGACCTGCTGTTAATCGACCTCCTCGCACATTCTATGTTCCTATCACTTTCTTGCTTTTTGAGCCCAAATCATAGATGGCACTGATCGAAGCCGCTTAAAATTTTAATATCTTTATTGGAACTGATTACTTACTCTGGTCTTATGCTCGTAGTACAACTTAATAAATCAATTTGGCAATGAAAAACTAACAAATTTTCAAATTTCTATAATTAATTCATGAACTTGAATTATTAATTATTTCATTATACTAATGGAAGGGCGAATCATTAGTATCTTTTACAATAGTTCAAGGACTCTATGCAATCATCACTAATAATGAATTAAATGACGAGGAATTCATATCCAAAATGATATTAGAAAGCTCGCTAAGGCTGTATCTTTACGATGCAATTATAAATGTTGTCGAATTAATTACAGATGAAGATGAAGTCGCAGATGAAGGCGAGTGATTTTGTTCTTGGTAAAAAGAAAATGAAACTACGATGGTTATATGCTTAGGTACTTTTTATTCACTTTGAAAGTTTCACATATACACGTTAATTGTTAACGACATAATAAACAATGACATATAGACATTAGAATCTGAGTAGATGCCCGTATCACGGACCGTTGCGAGAAAAAGATGTTTCGTAATACATATCACGTAATAATTATCATTATAATGACCATATATATATGTAACAATATTTATAGACATATACAGACGAATTTCATATGTATCTGTTTTACATAATATTTATATTTATATATTTATATTCATATTTATATTTATACGTTGTAACACCGATATGTCATTTTAGGCATGGATTTTCCGTGTACTTGTTAAAGTGTGAATTTGAATATTCTCCGTGATAAATACGTGTATCAATATTTGTTCCTTATTAATATTTAAATATCACACGATCTTCGTGCTTCTTACACAGATTAATTATTTAACCTTAGTTAAAGAAGATATAACATACAGGCGCATATGCAGGTATGTACCTATATGTCTATGTACTCGTAGAGTCTATTATACGCGTGTTCTATGTTTGTAAAATTATTATTTGTACGTGTGTATATACTTGCATGTTCCTCGTGTGTAAATTTCTTTATATGTGTATTACATCAGCGGATACAGTAATTATAATGTGAGAAAATTTAAATGATTCTTTAACAAGTGACAAAGCGTACAATATAAGAGAGCACCGAGATATAGGTCAGTAAAGATATCCACCGAAGTTTAATAAAACCACAGAGGGAGAGAGAGAGAGAGAGAGACTGAAGGAGAGAAAGAGTTAAGGAGAGCGGAAAAGG